CGGGGCCGCCTGGCCAGGGGGCGTGGCCAGGGGCGTGACCAATAGGACATTGTCATGGGCGTGGCCAATTGGGCGTGGCCAGTGGGAGTGACCAAAGGGGCGTGGCCGGGCCGTACCTGCGGGCGCGGTCTCGGGGTGTCGCCGCGGTGTCCCCGCCGTGTCCCCGGCCCTGGGGGGACAGCCCCGCTCCGGGGGCTCCTGCTGGCCCTGGGGCGCCTGGGGGAGGCCACAGGGAGCGCTGCTCCGGCCGGACCCCGAGCCGCTCCTGCCCCACAGCCCCCTCTGCCCGTGCCACCCCTCTGCCCCATTGCCGCTTCTCCCTGCCCCCGAGCCCCCACCCGGCGCCCTCTCTGCCCCATCGCCCTCCCATTTTGCCCCATAACCGCCCTCACCACGCAGATCTGCGCCACGATCACCCCGGTACTTGCTCCCCCCATTTGAATTCTCCCCCACCCCAGATCTCACCTCGCCGTGGGGCCGTGGAGGGACTGGGGGGCAGCAAGGAGGGGGCTCGGGTGGGCTCCCGAGCCCCTCAGCCGGGCACTGCGTGGGCAATGGGGGCGAGGGAGGATCCGCACCCCGGGGTTCCTGGAGTTCCTGCTGGGAGAGGGAGCGGGCCGAGCTGGGAAGGGGGGAGAAAGCAGGAGTTAAAGGGTTAACATCCCCCCCAAAACCCCGCCAAACCCTCTGTGACCCCCTCCCCAGATTCCCCAAACCCTCTCTGTCCCTTCCCCAAAATCCCCCACCTCCTCCTGCCGCCTGGGATCCCCCAAAACCCTCGAAGCCCAGGCTCCCTCTGTGCCCCCCCATAAACCGGGGCAGCCCCCCGTGCCCCCCGTGCCCCCCTCACCCGGGCAGGGGCGATGCCCCCCGGCGCAGGGCACAGACCCAGGCGTGCAGCTCCTCGGGGGTCTCCGCCCCCAGGCAGTACGTGCGCATCCCGGCGTGTTCAGCCTGCCAAGGGGGATCCTCGCTAGCCCCGTCCCTCCCCGCAGGGATTTTGGGGACCCAGGGGGCCAGGGCTGACCGTGAAGAGGAACTGGGGGGCGCGGGGGGCGCGGGGGGCGGCGGGCAGGACGCGGATCTCGTAGCCGGGCAGGGGGAGGCCGCCCCGCACTTGCTGCTCGCTGCTGTCTGGGGGGCAGAGGAAGGTCACGATGGGGGGCACCGGAGCCCCCGTCTGCACCCCGAGATCTCCAGGACCAGCAGGGGGATGCCGGGGACCTCCTCTGATGCCCCCAAACCTCCCGGGCCCCCCCCCCCCCCCAACCCCAACAAGGACCTCGTCTCCCCCCCCCCCCCCCCCGTTCCCAGGAATTCCCAATGCTCCAGAGACACCCCCAATCTCCAGGAGTTCCCAATGCTCCAGAGAACCCCCCCAATCCCCAGGAATTCCCAATGCTCCAGAGACCCCAATCTCCAGGAGTTCCCAATGCTCCAGAGATCCCCCCAAATCCCCAAGAATTCCCTGATTCCTCCATAGACCCCCAAATGCCCCAGGGATCCTTGATCCCACTGGGATCCCTGACTGCCCCAGGGACCCCCCATTCCCCCAGGATTCCTGGTTCTCCAAGGACTGCCCAACACCCCAGGACCCCTGAGCCCCCCGGGACCCCCCAGTGACCCAGGGACACCCCGGGATCGCTGACCCCCCTCCCAGGGACACCAGGTCCCCACGCCCCCCGGGTGTCTCCAGCCCCCCGTGCCCCTCTCACCCCGGTAGTAGTAGAGGCAGAGATCCACCAGTACAAACCAGCGGCGCTTCCAGAGCCGCAGCCCCGAGCTGTCCTGAGAAGCGGGGGTGGGGGGATGGGGGCTGAGCCCCCGCAGCCCATCCCCCCCCCCGGGACCCTCTGCTGCCCCAGACCCCTCAATCCCTTCCGATCCCCCCAAGCTCCTCACTCCCGTAACCCCCCAGCACCTTCTTCCACCTCCGACCCCATGACCGTCCCACGCTGCCCCATCCCACCACGTGTCTCTGATCTCCCCAAAGCCCCCAGACCCCACAACCCTCCCTCACCCCCCACCGACCTCCCCCAAGTCCCTCCGATTTCCCCCGAGCCCCACACCCACCCCCATAACCCCCTGACACTCCAGACCCTCCCCCCAGCTCCTCCCCACCGCCCCAGGTCCTCCCAAAATCCACAAACCCCCCAGAAACCCCCGTACGACCCCTGAGCCCCCTCCCCAGCCCTCCCCTGGCCCCCTGCCTCACCTGCTTGTGCAGCCAGCCCTGCATGGCGGGGGGGGTGCGGGGGTCCCTCCGCAGCGCCTGCTCCCCCTTTCCAAAGGCGTGGACCCTCGGCACGGGCCGGCAGGGCTGGGCAGGGGGGTCACCCATTGCGGGGGGCCAAGTAAGGGCCCCCCAGCACCCCTACAGCCCCCCAGCCCTCCTACCCCTATTTATCTTTGCACCCCACAATGCCCCCCCAGCTGCCCAGAGCCCCCCCCTCCCTTGTGCCCCATAAGTCCCCAGGGAGTCTTGGGCTCCCCCGCACACCCCAATGCTCCACATGCCCCCTTCGAGCTCCCTCGGGTGCCCAGGGTTCCCCAAAACCCCCCCAGCCTCTCCGACCTCCCCATCCCCCCGTGGTTCCCCAGTTTCCCCCTCGCTGCCCCCACCCCCTTCGCCCACCTGGGTGCGGGGGCCAGCGGGGTCCCGGCGGGCGGGGTCGTCGCTTTCTGCCATGGGGGGTCCTGCGGGAGCAGCGGGGGGCGGGGGGGTCCCCATCAATGTCCCCATTGTCCCCATGAGGACAGAGGCCCCGTTCTTCCCGCTGCGGGGGCGGGGGCTGCTCCCGGACGCCTGAGTCCCCCCAGGGGTGTCGGGGGGGCTTCTCGGCTCCCGCTGCTCCCTTCCCCCTCCTGCTCCTGCCGGATTTTGGTCCGTCCCGTCCCCCTGTGCTGGTGCCGGTTTCTGTCCAAGTAACCCTAAACTGGTCCCAGTTCCCATCCCAGTGTCCCTGGACTGATCGCAGTCCCTGCCGTTATCCCCGTGCCGGTAACTCTGAGCGGATCCCGGTTCCTGTTCCGTTCTCCCGTGCCCGTCCCAGTTCCCAGCCCGTTATCCCACACCGATCGGGGCGGCGGTCCCGTCCCCTTGCCCTGGTGACGGGTCCCATTCACCGTCCCATCATCCCAGGGACGGTCCCGGTTCCGTTACCGCAGCTGGTCCTGCTCCCAGCCCCGTCCGATGTCCCGCTAGTGCTGCCAGTCCCGGCCCGTTGCGCCGCGCTGGCCCCGGTCCCTGTCCCGGTCCCGGTCCCTGTTCCCAGCCGCAGTCCCAGTCCGGGTCCCTGTCCCACTCCCGGTCCTTGTCTCAGTCCCTATCCCCGTCCCTGTCCCTGTCCCTGTCCTTGTCCCTGTCCCTGTCCCTGTTCCTGTCCCAGCCCCGGTCCCGGTCTGAGTCCCGGTCCCTTTCCCAATCCCGGTCCCAGTCCCAGTCCCAGTCCCAGTCCCAGTCCCTGTCCCTGTCCCTGTCCCGATCCCGGTCCCGGCCCCTGTCCCAGTCCTGGCCCCTGTCCCAGTCCCGGCCGCAGTCCCTGTCCCTGTCCCTGTCCCTGTCCCGATCCCGGTCCCGGCTCCAGTCTCAGTCCCGGTCCCTATCCCGGTCTCTTTCCCTGTCCCAATCCCAGTCCCGGTCCTGCCCCGTGTCCCCGCCCGCCCCGGGCGCTGGTCCCAGTCTCTGCCCCCACGCTCGGCTGCCCCCGGGACCGCGCGGGTCCCCTCGCTCCGGCAACCACCGAGGGGGCAGCACCCCGTGTCACCCAGGGAACCCCGTCCTGCGGGGACACCCACGCTACTGGGGACACCCACGGCACTGGGGACACCCCATGGCACTGGGGGCACCCCAAGGACCTCACGGACCCCCAAAACCCTCAGATCTCAGCGATCCCTGACACCCCAAGGACCCTTACGCCCCACGGGCTCTGCACACCCCCCGGACACCCCCAAATCCCGGACACCCGGACACCTCAGGGACCCCTGACATCCCGGGGATCCCGGGCCCCCACAGACCCTGGACACCCCACTGACCAGGGGTCCCGGCCACCCCACGGACACGCCGGACATCCCTGGATCCCGGACACCCCGCGGACCCCTGACACCCCACGGGCTCCGGACACGCCAGGGTTCCCTGACATCCCCCCTGCCTCCCGTGTCCCGGGGTCGCCGTGTCCCTATCCCCGTGTCTTTGTGTCCCGGTGTCCCTGCCTCCGTGTCCCTGCCTCCCGTGTCCCGGTGTCCCCGATTCCCATGTTCCCGTGTCCCCGTGTCCCTCCCTCCCGTGTCTCCATGTCCCAGTGTTCCGGTGTCCCCGTTTCCCCGTGTCCCCGTTTCCCCGACTCCCATGTCTCCGTGTCCCCGTGTCCCCGTGTCCCTCCCTCCTGTGTCCCTCCCTCCCGTTTCTCCGTCTCCCGGTGTCCCCGTGTACCGGTATCCCCGTGTCCCGGTGTCCCGGTGTCCCCGTGTCCCGGTGTCCCGGTGTCCCGGTGTCCCGGTGTCCCTCCCTCCCGTGTCCCCGTGTCCCCGTGTCCCGGTGTCCCGGTGTCCCGGTGTCCCGGTGTCCCCGTGTCCCTCCCTCCCGTGTCCCCGTGTCCCGGTGTCCCGGTGTCCCGGTGCCCCGGTGTCCCCGTGTCCCTCCCTCCCGTGTCCCCGTGTCCCGGTGCCCCGGTGTCCCGGTGCCCCGGTGCCCCGGTGTCCCCGTGTCCCTCCCTCCCGTGTCCCGGTGTCCCCCGCGCCGGGTCCTGGCGCTCGTCCCCGCCAGCAGAGCGCTCCGCCCGCCACCAGGGGGCGACACCACCCCGCCACATCGCTCCCTCACACCGCTCTTCATGGCCCCGCCTCACCCCGCCCTTTCTCTTGAGCGACGTCCCCACTACCCAATCACAGCCGCTTCTCCTCCCGCCTCTTCAGCACACCCATTTCTATTGGCTGGGAGGGGCGGAGGGGCGGGCGCGCCGCGCTGCGCGGCCAATGGCGGGGCGGAGGGGGCGGGGCCGGGCCGCCATGGCGCCGCCGCCGCGCTGACCGTGCCGCGCCGCCATGGCCGGGGCCATCGCGTCCCGCATGAGCTTCAGCTCCCTCAAGCGCAAGCAGCCCAAGACCTTCACCGTGCGCATCGCCACCATGGACGCCGAGATGGAGTTCAGCTGCGAGGTGACGGCCCGCGCGGGCGCGGGGTCCCGCTGAGGGCCCGGCCCCCACCCCCCAGCCCTGAGGCCCCTCCGGTCCCTCCCGGCCCCCCCCGCCGGTCCCTGGGCCGGCAGCGCCTCGGCCTTGTTCTGCTTATAAATCAGCCTTATCCTGGTGTCATTTGCGTTATAATTGCACAACAATCTGCCTACAATTCGGCTTTTCTTTGGTTAATAACTCACCTTTACTTTGGTTATGAATCGGTACCATTTGGCTTTGCTTTGGTCATAAGTTGGCTTTGTTTTGGTTGTGATTCAGTGTTTATTGCTTGTAAAATTCAGTTGTATTCTGATCATAGTTTGGCTTAGTTGTTGTTGTCAGTAATCCTTATTATGTGTGTAACTCAGCATTGTTTTGGTCATAAATTGGCTTTTTTTCTGTGTATAATTTTGCTTTAGCCTGGGTATATTTGGCATTATTCTGGTTATTATCCATCTATGCTTTGGTTATAATTAAGCTTTATTTTGGCAATTATTCATCTTCACTCCAGGTGCAATTTAGCTTTATTTGGGTTATTATTTGGCTTCATTTCGATTACAATTCGATCTCGTCCTGGATGCAATTTGGCATTACTCTGGTTATAATTAATCCTATACTTTGGCTATAATTCAGCTTAATTCTGGGTATAATTCAGTTTTATCCTGGTTATAATTCAGCTTTATTCTCATTACAATCCAGCTTCCCTTGGGCTCTAATCCAGCGCTGTCCTGCCATCCCAGCCCAAGTCACCACTACACTGTGGCTGTCACAGGGCTTGAGGAATCTCTGTGTCAAGGCTTAAATCCACAGGAATCCAACTCCCAGGTGCTCCACAAACACCCAAGGACAGGATTTTGGCATTTTCCTGAGCTCTTAGCTCACCATGAAGCTGAGGGATGCTCCGGGGGGTTGGGTCTGGCTTTTCTGTGATAATTTCCCTTTTTGGGGCCCTTGGAACTTGTGAGGCGTTCTCCCGGGGCGTTGCTGCCAAACTTTGCTTTTTCAGCTGATCCAGAGGGATTGGCCACACGAACACTGAAACCCCTCTCCAACCTCTTAATTTAATAGTTTATATTTCATTATCCTGCCCCAAACCCTGAGAGAATCCCAGCGCCCATCAGCCAAGGGGAGTTTGTCATCACCGATTTCCTGGCTCTGGAAATCTGCTCTCAGCCCTGAAGGACTTCCTGCTTTTCCTTGGGATGAAGGATTTGCTCTGGGCAGCCGTGTGAGCTTCCCACTTCCAGCAGAGTGTGAGTGTCCTGGCTGTGTTTTCGCTGGTTTCCCGAGGCTGCAGCAATAACTGATGGTGGAAAGTAAATAAATGTGAATTTTAGTGCTGTGGCCGGGTGTCACTTCGGGTGTCACTTCCCGCTGGGATCAGGGGGGTTTGTGCAGCATTCCCGTGGGATTTGGCTGTGGAACTGCTGCATCTCCAGCTGACTTTCCTGGGAGGTTCCTGCCAAAAGAACTTGTTGTTGCAGAGGGACTCCTGCAGCTGGAAGGAGCTCAGGCCCTGCTGGGGGCTCCTTGTGGTGGAGCTGGTGCAGGGGGGATGCAGAGGGAATTCAGAGCTCGTCCTTCAGCAGGGAATATTGGAGCAGGAGGGGGGATAGATGGATGCAGGTGGGTGATGGGGCTGTTTCACACCTTGCAGGTGAGGAGTGAGTTTTTATGGAATCGTGGAACGGTTTGGGTGGGAAGGGATCTTAAAGCTCATCCCGTTCCACCTCCTGCCATGGGCAGGGACACCTTCCACTGTCCCAGGCTGCTCCCAGCCCCATCCAGCCTGGCCTGGGACACTGCCAGGGATCCAGGGGCAGCCACAGCTGCTCTGGGCACTCTGTGCCAGGGCCTGCCCACCCTCCCAGGGAACAATTCCCAATATCCCATCCAGCCCTCCCTCTGGCAGTGGGAGCCATTCCCTGTGTCCTGTCCCTCCATCCCTTGTCCCCAGTCCCTCTCCAGCTCTCCTGGATCCCCTTTAGGCCCTGGAAGGGCTCTGAGCTCTCCCTGGAGCTTCTCCTCTCCAGGTGAGCACCCCCAGCTCTCCCAGCCTGGCTCCAGAGCAGAGGGGCTCCAGCCCTTGCAGCATCTCTGTGGCTTTCTGAGGTGTGGCTTTTATCCAAGCTCCATCTGAGCTGTCCAGCTCCCTGGCTGGATCTCTGTCCCAGTTCTTGTCCTGCTCTGGGGACAGCTCCTCACTGTGCTGACTCTGCAGAAGCATCCCTGGGGCACAGGGATCAGACACGCCTGGAGTGCCTGGGGTGGGAAGGTGGCCCAGGGAAGGGCTCAGCTTGCTCTACACCCACAGTGGGACCTGGAGCCAGGAGTGGAGTTTGTGCCCTCCTGGGAGTCAGTGGGGTGGCAGAGTTGATTTTTGGGTCAGGCTGCTCATCCCTGAAGGAGTCTGGCCCCTGTCCCAAGGTTTGCCAGGAGAAAAGGGTGAGCAGCTCTGTTTACCCAGCTGTCTGTGTGCTTTGAGGTGCCTTTGGCCAGGAAGGAGAAGGAAGTCTGCCTCACAACCACTTGGGACGATGAGAGGAAGGAGGTGCAGTGGGAATCCTGCAGTTTGGGGGCTCTTGAGATGCGTTTTTGTGGCCTGTGAGTGGCACCTCGTGCTGACAGGGACAGAGAGCTGCTGATCTGTTGGATGTCTGCAGTCGGTCTTCCATGATCCTTTGGGATTCCTCCCAGCTCAGGATATTCCATGACCCAGCTGTAGCTGCTGGAGACTCACTTTCTTTCTCAGTGTTAATTTTTCAGTCTGCTCCCTAGAAATCCCCAGCTGTGCATTTTAAGGGATTAAACCTGCTTTGCATGTTTATTTTGCAGTTGACGTCTCTAAATTGAGCCTAAATCTAAAATAATTCCTAGAAATGAAATCTTAATCTTTCTAACACAGTGATGGGGATTAATAATCACGGTTGGGGTTTCACTTTAAAGACTTCAGATTTGTTTGGGGAAATCTTGAATTGTCTTCCTTTGGCTACTTCCATCTTGGAGGCTTGAGCTGTACCTAATTAATTGATAACATCTGGAGGAAGGGTAGACATTTGCACAGCTCTTGAATTCCTGTGCTAAAGCCTCACCTTCCTGAGAACCTTGGACAGCCATGTGGAAGCCTCTTCCCTGGGAGGGTGGGCAGGCCCTGGGTGCCCAGAGCAGCTGTGGCTGCCCCTGGATCCCTGGCAGTGCCCAAGGCCAGGCTGGGACAGGGCTGGGAGCAGCCTGGGATGGTGGAAGATATCCCTGTCCAAGGCAGGAGGTGGAGCAAGATGGGCTTTCAGTCCCTTCCAACCCAAACCATTCCATGAATTATTCACTAATAAAACCCCACGGTATTTTTGAGTCCAAAGCACTGTTTATCCCACGTCTCTGGTGGGTGGCAGAGGTGTGGCTGATGTCAGGTTGGTCTCCCCCCCTTGCCATGTGCAATTTTTTTCCCTCAGAACCAAGTTCCCTGGCTGATGGGAGAACCCCTCCATCTTTCTTGTGGTCTCCTGGGTGTCGTTGCCAATTTCTTCCTCTTGCAGTGCTCAGCCCCGTTAGTGTCTCTCCATTACAGAGCCACAGCCCATTTTCCAAAGGGTCTGTTTGTCCCTTTCTGCTGTGTTGTGCTCTTGGGCTTGAATCCTGCAGGGATGGTCACTCCATCAAGGTGCAGCTCGCTGCCCAGCTGCTTCCCAACCTTTACCTTTTGCTGTCTTAAAAATGAATTGGAGAAGCTTTACAGCCAGCCTGGAGGAACAGCTTAAGTGTTCAGGCAGGTTTGTCCTGATCTATTTGCTGGTGTAAACATGCACCCAGTTATTGCTTCAGTGCTTAAGCTGTTGCTCTCTGTCCAGAGGATAATCCTGGTTGGAAGGGATCTTTATTTTAGCCCAGTGCCCCACTCGGTGCGGGGCCAGCTGATGAGGTTGGATGTAAAGCCCTTGTAAGTAGAAGAGTCCTGATTTTGGCCATATGTGGCCGAGTGCTGTCCCTTTGTCATCAGACACAGGGACTTGTGTAGCTGAGCTGCAAAGCTCATCTTCTGGAACAGGAACAACCGAGGATTTGGTGGTGGAAATCTGGGTGAGTTTTTGAGGAAGAGCTGGTGCAGTAAATCCAAGCTGAGTTTTGAGCTGTGTCCAGTCACTGCACCAAAATAAAAAGGCAGGAGGAGGAAATCAGGGAGTGGAATGCCCTTGGCTTCCTTCTGCATTGCAGGATACTTGCAAAGGGGTTTATAAAGATCCATACATTACCAAATTCAGGCAGCAGGGTGCTGGTAGGCACAGTGACCTCTTGATGCTGCAAAGCTTCTGTGAGTGGACACAAACTTAACAGGAAAAGACCATTCTGTGTGCAGGAACAGCTGTTTAAAAAAAGCTGAGAGAAATAATCCCACTGAGCTACAACACGATCCCAAATAAATAGTTGGGATACCAGCTCTCAAGTCAATGTTTTGTTCCTCCACGTGCCTGTGTGTCCTGATCTTGTGCTGCTCTCTTTGAATCTGAGACACAGCACGTAAGGGCTGTTTCCTCATTCATGTCTTGGAGGGGTTTATGCCCCAAAACCTCAGAATTTCTGATTCACACCACTGGCATTTGGGAGTTGATGTTTTGGAGGTGTCTTGCTTGGTGCAGTTCATTCCCTTAAGTTGTGTTTGTGACTTGTGGACGTGGATTCTCTTTGGCTTTGGTGCCACACCCTGCACCTGCAAAGTTCTCAGGATCCCCTGCTCCCATCACAGCCTCCCAAGCCAGTTGGAAACTCCTGTTACTTCTCTCCAAAGACTGTTCAAAATTGCTGTCAATCCCCAGACTCTGTTAATTAATCCACAGATGTGTTGATGCAGAGGGGAAGGAGGGAGGGCATTTGGGACAGTAAATCTTTCTCTTTTGGTGTGTAGACTCCAGTTTTGATGCACTTTAATACCTCTTTTTTTTTTCTTTTTTTCCTTTGTACAGGCAGTGTCTTTCAAGTAGGTGGTTTTT